ACACAAGACTATAGCGGATATTTTAAAGACATTAAAGATTATATATATCTAAACGGCGAAAAATACCGTCCCCAAGATATATCACCAATCAACATTTTTAGCTTTGTTACACTCAAAAATGGGATCCTCGATTTTCTAGGATGGCCCTACTACATCTTAGAAAAATTGACTATTTTATACGCAATGTTTAACTTTATTGGATTTCTTTTCTCACTTTTAAAAGGAATCTACAACACATGTGCTATACACACACAAGTAAATAGACAAGCAAGCGTAGCACGCATACTCTTTGCAGGATTTTTTGGAATTTTTTCCACATCTATAAACAAAATTCTTTTAGACGCACAAATAAAAGAATATAACACAAAAATAACAACACGACAAAATACATACGACGAAGAACATAACAATGTCGACACACAGCCAACGGCACCACAATTACCACCCCTACCAAATAACCATCCACTATCCCTAGTCCCACGAAATTTCCGAAATTTAGCAATCACACATAATCCAAATTTTCGACTCAATACATCGCAAAGTCCCGTCCAACACATAATGACACATCAATCACAAGATGATAATACTTATGAACAAATTATTGAACAGCCCCATACCACCGCTTTTCAATCTCAAAATAATAATTTTTTTAGCCCACGATGAGCCGCCAACTTGGATCACTCCACCGATCAAATTCCCATCCAACCAATCTCACCTCTCCAATCCCAATCATACCACTTTTTGCTTTTCCGCCACCCGATTTTCCACCTAGCAATGTAACATCAGGCATGAATTCCGACACTAACTCACATATTTCAGTTTTATACTCCATCTCACAGCTAAATAATCCGAATATTGAAACCCCCGATGAATTTGCCGACTCAGAACCATCTCCATCCAATAATTTTCATAACCCTTCTAATTTTTCTCAACCTCCTTTTCAACCCATATTGTCAAATAACCCTGACCCAATCACTCCCACACCATCTTATGCTTCCCAAGTTACCCCAACCTACTCCTCATACCATTCTGACCAATCATCTCATTCTCCAGACACCCCCCGAATCTCCCCAGAACTAGATAATTTTATTACCCTCCAACAACAACCCTACCACCTTAACACCCCGACCATAAACCAAATCTCCTCCACTACAAATTCATCCAATCCCCCTACACCCTCTTCAAATTATACTGAATCATTAACACCATCATCCACATCCACTATATCTTCACTAAACACTAATAGAGCTTACCGCACTTTTAAAAGAAAATTCCCCAACCATCCTTTCCCAGCAAAACCAGGAACAGCCCGTGAATACATCAACCACCCCCAGCATACTAACACTAAAGAATTTTTAGCTATCACCTTACCCTCATTTCCACAATACACCTTAAACACCCCTCACGACGCTAACGAAACACGCAACTTTGTAGATGAATACGTTTTAATGCCCACTCTCTCTTGGACCTCATACTATCATTTCACTAACCCTCTTTGCTTACCTTTATCCAACACTTCCATCGACATAGAACGAAACAAAGACATGCTATATCGACTAACTACACCGCTAACCGCTAGACAGTTTACTTACGTTGGATATAAAAAATCACTAAAAATACACACTGCACCTAGAGCTAATGAATATACACTAGAATACTACGATCACAACATCATCAGAGCTAACCAAGATCAATTCTTAGACGACGATCGCTTCGCTAATCCACAAATCACCGAGAAATTTTTCATCAAGACACCATATGTATTTACACTAAACATCTTCGACCGAAAGTTTGATCACATTATTTCAGAAGCACTAACAAACACACAAGCATACGAAAGTTTTAAAGAACGCTTCCAAATCTTTTCACTAACCTTTCACTTCCTTGCACCACACGAAAGAGATTTGCACTGCTCACATGATATTATGTTGCGCACTAAACAAACACATACATACAGTTACTATCGTTTCATCCAAAATCACTTTGACCTCCACACACCCTCTAGACAACCACACCATCGTTTTCAATTCATCAATTCAAAATACACTTCACCGTATTTCCTAAATTTCACATATTGTATTAAAGACACTAACCTTCATGGTATTCTTCGTAATTATGACCCCATAACCCAAATGTACATTTTCTGCCCCATCACCAAGACCTTCAACGCCGAAGAATCCCGACCCTTCCTTATCCCGCACGAGTTCCTACAACCTATAGAAATCCCAATTTTAGAATTCATCCACAACACTAAATTTAACCACAAATTATATAACTTAATCCAAAACACACCTTATGAGTTTGCAGTAGGCACTGAAGAACTAACCACTATTAAGGCACTTCAATTGCTTTGGCCACTGCTTCAGACTAAAAATATCATCCGCATTCTAGCTAAACTACTAACAACTTCAGAACTAATTCACGACATCTTCCCCCACGGTTTTTTCCCCGACGACTAACAGGTAAGTATGAATTAAGTAAATATTACTAACTAATTAAAATATTAAAAAACTCACCATTCTTTATTCATGTTTTCTTTAGATTTTTAGCCTTCATCCTAGATCATCTGAAAAATTCACAAAAGAAAAATAAAAAATAGCAAACTTCTTCAAAACTGTTTAAGACACTATTAAACTTTTGCACCAACAATTAAATAAATATAATACCAATGCAGTAAATTAGTTTATAAAATTTTCCCCCAAAAGCAGTAAATCTAATTATAATGAAAATTTGTATCTTAAAATTCCCCCATAACTAGCAGTAAATTTCCAAATTCTATGCAGTAAATTAATAAAATGCAATTGCAGTACTAACCTTTTGATATTTTCATTCATTCGCACAGAAATTCTATCCACACTCGCACAGCTCGCCCACGAAGAATTGTTTAAAATAATGAATTTCAGTTTCAAGTTTTCACACTCAACAACTCTAACATATAATAACATGTTTTAAACTTTCCTTTAACCCGGTTGGAAAGGAATCATATACTAAACAAAACTAACCAACGCAGCTTACTAAATACCACAAATCATAGAATAACAGCATGACTAAGAAAAGGAAACCAACGGTACCCAAACCGGATTAACCCAGTTTAAAACTGGATAATTTATTCTTTTGAAGACTATTACAAAGTCTTAGAAAGAAATAATAAAACACAAAAAAGTCGAAAGACAAACCCATACCACAAACAATTCGCTTTTTGGAAAAAGTACATAACCAACAAGACATAAGTAAGACCACAACAAACCCAACATAAAACGTTGTCACATAACAGGACCCCTCACAAAAACCGCATGAAATTATACTCCCACACCTGGCCTAACCCACCAGGAAGGACGTCCTGAGCATGCTCTATAGCCGGCCTAACCCACCGCGCTACATCCACGCTTTGTGACCACACCTTTATTTTTAATAAGAGCTACTCAAGGGTGAGTAACTCTTCAAAATAACCGAACTAAAACAAAAAGCTTTTGTGAAAACAACTAACTAAAATCATTATTAAAAAAATATTAAACTAATAAAAGTTTTATAAAATGTAAAATCACATGATGCAATATATAGATCAGAATACAACACCAAGGACGAACATCAAAAGACAAGACGACCTCACTACACTCGAGAGAGAATGACCAACTACAATCGATATGCCGCTCACAATCACAACTCAAAGGATTTAGAGTACGACTTGACTTCGCAGAAAAGGACTTCATTGAACTAGACCAATGACCACCTCGATGTTCAAGTATACGTACAGATCCGAGTAACCAGGCATCCCCTCCACGCACAATCTCCACGCCATTCCCAAGCTAGATCAGACACAAAAAAAAGTTCTCCCCGAAGAACAGAAAAACCTGACATAGCCAACCATTCTGAAATCAGAATTGATTTTGTTGCAGAGACTCAGTCGTTGTCACAAGAAGAAGCGGAAGAAAATTATGATGTCCGCCAAATACCAACGTCCATCATCCATCCTTGAATTACAGAAGAACTGTTCTAAAAAACTCTGTAAAACCCGGATGGGTGGAACCTGATCTAAACTATATATTATGATTGGATAAATTAAATGTTTTACCAATGTAAAGTATTTAATATTAACCAATCATGATCCATCTAACTAACAACCCACTTATTTGTAAGTGCTGAAGTTACTTGTAATTTCAGCACCAGAGAGATTTGAATTTAACTTAGAAATTAGTTGGACTCTCCCGAGCACTTCAGCAGCCGCAATAAACCAGTATACCCTAGATCTATTGAGCCTAGCAGAGACTAGTTAAACAACCTGAGACTAGATAGTATAAGAGTAAGATTAGGATCGGTATTAGACTAAGAAGTTGCACGAATCTATCCGGCCGAAAATAAGATAGCGTGACGAGCAGACGGTGTACCCTATCCGAAATTACTCTATGAGTTATACACTCCAGTCCTAACTCAGTGAGATTTAAGTGGAGTTTCTAGACTAACCGTAATAAAACGGGGTGAAAAATTGAGAGGGTAAAATGGTTAGGACCAGAAAAATTTAGTGCAATAATTTATAGAAGGAAAACAAGTGACAAAATAGGTTAACTAAGAAGAGACGGAATAATTAAACGATCCTAAGTTTCTCTTGATGGCACCTGTCGCCGATCATATATACCGTCTCCGAAGGCAAGCAAGTGGATCACAAAACAAGCATTTCAGTGCATTTTCTCAAAAATATATCTGCAGCTCCAAAAATTTTCGATTAAATAATGCCTTTTTAGTGCACTAGAATAGCTTTGTAAATAACTTGATTTAACAAAGCTGTTTATTGAAATTGAGCTTTGAACCGAAAACTGTTTGTTTGCCTCTCATTTCTTGTACAAGTTTTCATCATTAGTAAAGTTATGTGCTGATTCGTTTACTGTTGAGCAAAGACCATATCACTCTACTGCGGATAATATTTTTTAATCAGATGTTTCGAATACCTTATTTTTAGAGATAAATTTACTTTGAAAATATTAATTATTTTGTAACATTTTCAGAAGGAGCTACGACAGAGTGACTCGATGCGACACACCATCTCCTCCCCCAGACAGAGAATGGGCGTGTGTCTGAGAGACGCCATAGGAGCGAGTGCAGACTGGCCCATGGATCAGACTGAGGTAGAGCAATTATAAGAGTCGACACGATTTAACCTCGAAGCTGTTCAACTCAACTCATTAAAAACAACAGCTGCAGTGATTCTTACTTTTCGTACCGCAGTTTTTTAGCTATTATTTGGGACTAAGTATAAAGTTAACTCAGCTCTAAGCAACGAAGATTAATCTAGACATTGTGCTATGAAAAAAACATTAGGATTAACAAACCTTGTGCCATTAAAAAGTGTCTCCAGGTTATTTCAAATAATTTTATTATAATTGCGAGAATAAGTGTCGTGTAATCGGCAGCTAAATTGTATTTGATTTTTTTTTGTTATTTTTGTGAGACTGTCGGTTTAGTGTTGGTATTTGTGTGACACTGTTGCAAATGGTTAGTTTCCTTGAAAAGTGCGTGCTGATGATTGTAAGGCTTCTTGTTGCAAATTGTTCTTTTAATTTTTCCAGTTCTTTTCAGGATTATAAGGGCTTCAAAATTAGTGCTTAATTGCGTGAATTTATCTAGTCGTGTGTTTTTTCGGCGAATAAAATTTATTTTGCTAAAGGCTTATTATTTTGATTTCAATTAACTTTTAACTTGGAAAAAAGCACAAAAAAAATGGTGTTTTTCATACCAAATTCTTCTTTCTCTGACTTACGAAGCTCCGTTTTGCATTTTTGTAAACTTCGTTTCGCCTCTGTTGAGAATAATTGCTTATTGTTAAAGTTTAATAAAAAATCTATCTAAAAACACTAGCTGCACAAAATTCGACTCTATCCCATTGAAAACAAAAAGTTTATTAGAAAAAAAAATAGCCTAACAACCACGAAAAAAATTTAATTACTGCGTGCTATAATTTGCTGGTTTCCGAAACTATAATTGCTTGTGTACTGCTGTAATCCTTGACAAGATTTAGGCCATGTGTTTTTCAGGTTAGGGACAATTACAAGAGTGAAGAGTACGAAAGAAGCAGGAACCAACTTCCCCCTCCAGATGAGGCCAGGAGGAGAAGGGACAGTTACAGTGAGTTACATGCGCAACATTTCACTTTTGGGCAAATTTGCTCCGCTACTCAAAAAACTTTGAACATTTTTTGTTAGCCACTTGATTTGAGTTTTGATGATTTTTGATGATTTGCGATTATTTTGATGATTTTTATTGCTTCTTGATAATTTTTTTCTAATTACATAACGAGGCCAAACTGTGCACTGGATAGGCGCAAAATTTTGTGTCTGTATGTTCCTGGTTTCCAGAGACAAGTCTTTAAACATGTTAAAAGTTTGTTGGAACGATCAAAGAAAAGAAAAGAACAAAAAAAGAACAAAAGTAGCTTAAAATTTACACAATGCTCAGTTTGGCCTCGTAATGTTTTTTGATTATTTTTATGGTTTTGATTATTTTGATGACGTTGCTACAACAAGAAAACACATAAAGTTTTTTTGAAAGCACATAAAAATGCTCAAAAGTTTGTGTGAAACGTTTTAAAAACTAAAAAAAGTGATAAAATAGCCGCGAGATAAAAAACTCGTATCGGGGCACATCCCTGAATATTTCGACTGCTCTTTAACTAGATTCGAATAGTTTTTAGTAAAATGAGAATTGGCAAACTATGAGTGCCATGTCGTGTATTGAATGAATAACAACAATAAGCTTGCCTCAAAATAATTTAGGACGATTTTGTAGAGCGGGGTAATTTGTAATGCGTACATAATTATTACACTCTCGTCATCAAGAAAACACCGAGCAGTTAAGACAGACTCGTTTCAGAGGCACCTCATAGCCAAGTTAATATAGTCGTGTAGGCGACTGGCTAGTCCAATGAAGATCCAGATATCAATCTACCGTGAGGCTAATTGTTCCGACCATTGAAACTGACGAGGACTGGGTTGAATTGGACTGGGTTGAATTATAAATCTTATTAAAGAACATACAGTCTTGATTCCAACCACGTTTAAAAACCAAAAATTATCCCAGTGTCGAGAACAACTGGTTTGAATTTTTTGGGTTTTCGTCTTTCTTGGAGCGAATAAAGCTTTTAAATGCTTAAAAGCTTACAACTGCCTAAATTAAAATGTTAAAACTTTTAATTGAGTGATGTTCTTTTGTTTTGATTATTAGCGCCTTTTTGGAGTCAAATTTTCAAAAATCCAAAAAAACTGTGAAAAACTGTGAAAATTTCAATTTGCGTATCCAACTATGACTGTCAAGTATACGTAATTTCCAGTTTTTTATTTAGCTCCTTTTGTCAGACCACGCCGAAAAAAATACTATAATTTGAAGTACTTGGTTTCATTTTATAAGAATAAAATATTTTTCGAGACTAAAGACTAGGAACAATCTGTTTTACTTGCACAGTAACCGGCAACATAAACATGCCATACAAAAAAATTATGCATTTTCAGCGTTTTTGAAACAAGCGATTAATCGGAAAGTAAAAAATCCAACATCAGTGTATCCAGGAATACGTTATGCACACACACAAAAAAATTTGCATGCAAAAAATTATGTTTTAGAAAATGTTTGTCCTTATGTTTTAGAAAATGTATCCAGGACTACACGTTTTCAAAAAGTAACAACTATCTTTTTTCAACGACTTTTCGAATTTTTACGAAAATTGCATGACAAGTTTTTTTCCATACATTTGTTGTATGGAATTGTATGATAAGCCTTTTCGTTGTATGCATGTCAACCTGGGATGGTTGGTTTAAGGATGTAAATTGTTCAGATGGCTTCACAAAATGTTAGAAACTGAGATTTTTGATGAAACCGTAAACAAGGCTCTTTTTCGAACTTGGTGCTGATTTTTTTAAATAATTTTAACTTGGTACAAATTTCGTGGTTTCATTTATTATTAAAAATTATCTCACCATACGCTAACTCACCTTAACATAGAAATTCCCCTTCAAATATGCAACAGTTTTGAAAAAGAACTCGGTATAAAAACGCACTAAGGTTTTTTTGCTGGACAACAAAATCACCTAAATCAGTTTCAACAGTTTGTTGATTTTTCTAAATCTGTTGAATAGATGATATTATGCCCCGATTGACAAAAAGTTTTTTTATGGCTAAAATGTTTATCATGCAGTTTGATACTAACCATAGAAAAAAATCAGCATGACTAGAATTTTCCTTTGATGGAATCGTATGACTGGATGGAATTTTTTCCATTAATGAAGTTGTATGACCAGTTTTTTAAATAATTGGAATTGTACAACAATCCTTCTTACCCTTGATTGAAACATTTTTTGGCCTGTTTTGCTTTTTAATTTTGTGCTGTGCACTGAACCCCAAAAATTAAAACAAAAACAATTTCGTCAATAGGTTAAACGGCGTAGAAAGTGCAAATTCAAGTATTCTTAAGATGTGCCTATTATCTTAACCTATTCATTTTCACACAGTATTAGATAAAAAAAATTTGTATTTGTCCCAGGCCTTCTTTAAAAAAAAATTCAGTGGTTAAAAATCGTGGCCTGTTTTTGAGCCTGTGATTTTCATTCTTCTGTGTAAAAACACCGGGTCTCGATTAAGTTATATTCAAAACGATTCTATAGTTCTTTGTAACTGAAAATTTTAAAACAACATATGTTTAACAGTTTGACCGGCGTCTTCAAAGACTTCGGATTATTAGGGATCATTCAATATATCAATGCCCTGATTCCAAAATTGAAAATAATTTATTTGCGAGATTATCAACCATTTTTCACGTGGGTCTACTATTTTTTTAATCGAAAACTTATGAGTTATTGTTTTATTATAAATTACATCAGACAATTAAGCCAATGAGCAGTCCAAGCCTTCAAGGCTTTGTTTTGAGAACTTTTGTATTTTTCGTTGAGTTTTTTGTAGAGATTGAAAACTTTTGTGCAGTGTTTCAATTGACGTTTTTGGCTCAATAAAATCATCTTCACCAGGTTGTGATACAAAAGTTTTTTATTATATGCCAACACTAAGACACCTATACCTTAAAAAAATAGTCACTCTCCGTTTCAAGGTGGATATTGGAACCCTAAAAACTTTATTTTGTTTCATTAATTTATTTAAAGCAATTTTTGCAAGCAGTTCCTTGTAAAACGTTCCAGAAAATTGGGGATCTTTTGATTTATGCTCAATTTCATTGCTTGTTTTCAGGCAAATGGGTGGGTTTGAACGTGCTGGATCAAAAACACAGACAGGAGTGGAAAGAGTATCTGGCCGAGACATCCCAGAAGCCAGCAGTGTAGAAGACTGATGAGAAATGGAAAGATAGAAACTCTGCTAATGAACTCTAAAATGGGCACAATCACTAATTTTGATGTTAAAATTGAAAAAAAATTAAAGGATCAGTTAAATTTTGAAAAAAGAAAGAAATACTTTCTTTGGATTTTAAAATAGCGACTTGTTTTTAAAACATGTAGGATGATGAAAATTTTTATGACAGTATCAAAAGAGAAGAGCAAAGTTATGCTGACGAAATCTGAAACGCTCAGTCACTTTTTTTCGATACTGAAAATTACACACGTTAGTTAATTGTCACAGTATAGCGCTCCAATTTCAGCACACATAATTGATGTCGTAACTTTCGTAAAATTTAGAAAAAAAATCATAGATATTCTGTCGAAAATGAAGTCGAATCGTTGATATTAGGTCAAAATGGCAAATTCACACATCAATTCATTCATTACTCGTTTGAAGTTATCTCTCTAAATTTTTTGAACTTCAAAACAGTTTTTTCAGTACTAAAGTGTTGTACGAAAATTACTAAAGCTCAGTTTTCTGGTTCCAAATCTTTATTTTATCAGTGAAACTTTTGTCTTCATGATTTGACTCGGAAAAACAAAACATACCAATCAAATTTTAGTTCTCAGCCAGAAAAAAATTAGCTCACTTCTATGTTTTTTAGTCAAATAGCTCGGAGGCTTATCACGGAATTAAAATGTTTAAGTAGACAGAAGCCCATTAAAGACTGCACACTTTCGATCTGAACCACCAACCATATGGTTGCTGGGCGCCATCACTACCGGAGCGCCACTGTGCTCTCCAAGATGACTTGAGGTAATGGTAAAGTTATTTTCAATAAAAGAATGACAAACTGTACATCCTTTCACCTGCCATGTAAAAATTAGTGCGCACTCTCAGTCGACGTCTAATTTCAAGTCTGGCACTTAACCAGTTTCGACTATATCTTATATCATGATGTTCGTAAAAATAAATAATTAATTGTGAGAAAATTAAAAATCACAAAAGGAGAATTCAGAGAAAATGAACGCAATCAAAAAAAAATTTATGATTTGAAAAAAAAAACTGAAAAACAACTATTTGATAAACGGGCCAAAAATAATTCGGCAGAAAATTTTAAATTGCAAAAATGCAAGGTCATTCTATTATAATTCGTCTTATATGTTTATTGTTTTTAAGCAAAATTTTAAATCTAGTCAAAAGTTTATGTTTCGTAGAATTTATACAAATGTATCAGGTATGGATCTGATATCATTGCTGTTCAAATAAAGTTGAGAAAAAATTCAATAAGGGGAAATTGAATTTGGTAGATATTTTTACTCTACCCTTTATTGTGAATTTTACCTTTCTCCCAATTTATGATAAATTTTTGAACATCATGATATAAGATGAGCAAGAAGGTTTGAAAAAAGAACATGAACAGTTTAAGAGGTGCTAGACTTGAAACTAGACGTCGACTGAAATTTTACATGGATCCATGTAAAGTTTCAGTCGACGTCTAGTTTCATGTCTAGCACCTCTTAAACTGTTCACGTTCTTTTTTCAAACCATCTTGCTCATCTTATATCATGATGTTCAAAAATTTATCATAAATTGGGAGAAAGGTAAAATTCACAATAAAGGGTAGAGTAAAAATATCTACCAAATTCAATTTCCCCTTATTGAATTTTTTCTTAACTTTATTTGAAGAGCAATGATATCAGATACATACCTGATACAATTGTATAAATTTTACGAAACATAAATTTTTGACTAGATTTAAATTTTTGCTGAAAAACAATAAACATAAAAGACGAATTATAATAGAATGACCTTGCATTTGTTGCAATTTAAATTTTTACTATAACGACTTTTTCAATTGTAGACAACGAAATGCTTTGAAATTTTTTCGGTATAAGATTGACATACTGTATGTGAAAAGAGATACAGTATGTCAATCTTATACTGAAAACATTTCAAAGCATTTCGTTGTATACAATTGAAAAAGTCGTTATAGTAAATTATAAGTAATGATAAATCAGATCGAAATGCCGCTGATAAAGGAAAGATTTTAATACGCGTTTTTGGACAATGATGACATTCAGAGATATAATGTTCCAGAAAGACATATTCATAATTGCTCTCTTAGCTGATTTGTGCACTCCTTTTGGGACTAAAGGCCTATGATTATCCAAACAGTACCCCGTAAACTTTTTGCTTATCGATTTTTTTTATTGAGATACCGCATGTTTTTTAGGGTCGAACTAAATTCTTAATTTGACACTTTCCAAAATGTGTCAAGTGAACTTTGAAACACTTTATGGTTATCTACTAGACAAAAGCAACAAAAACAGTCTACGCAAAAAGTGGATAAATGTTTTCTTGAATACCGATATTACTTTCGTTTAATCACGTGAAAAGAATATTTTTGTCAAACTTTTAACCTATCGGTGATATTTCTGCACAAAAGTTTTTGGTTTGATTTCTTTCGTATCAAGACTTATATTTGTTTCAATTCCGATGTAAGTGTTATGTCCGATGTCACTCATATTGAGTATTTGATTTTTTTTAACTTCTACCGATTAGTTTTTTGAGAACGAGATGACACTTTGTTTGTTTTTAGGAATCCTAAAGCTTTTGATTTTCAGAATTATTTTGACTACTTCCGGGAATCCGGTTCCCTTTTGGAGTTCTTTGAACTTTTGGAGTTCCCCTCTGGGAATCTGTTTGACTGCTTTTTGGCTGGCAACATCAAAATACATCTGCTTGACCGCTTTTTTGGCTTGCAATATCAAAATACATCTGTTTGACTGCTTTTTTTGGCTTGCAGCATCAGTACACATCTGTTTGACCGCTTTTTTGGCTTGCAACATCAAATTACATCTGTTTGACCGCTTTTTTGGCTTGCAACATCAAATTACATCTTTTTGACCACTTTTTTGGCTTGCAACATCAAAACACATCTGTTTGACCGCTTTTTTGGCTTGCATTATCAAAATGCGTCTTGCTTGCAACATCAAAATGCAACAATCGCTGACATTTTTGTAGAAACTCTAGTACAGTAGTCGTTCTTATAACAGTTACTGAATAACATCTTTGGTTTCCTTTTCTATTTTTATTCTTTCTCCAAGACGGAACAACTCGAGAGTTTTTTAAAATCAATGCTGTTATTTTACAAAGAATTTTTGTTCATATAAAGTTTAAGTTTATGTCTTCGCTTTTTTCAATCAAAATTTTGGATTTATTTCCTTCGTTTTCCAAATGATACACTTACTGTTTCAGTGGCTCAATTCTTGTCAGTTTGAAAAGTGAAACTAGGAAAGTTTCGAACGTGAATGAGTGTCAAATCTTTTCGCTATTCGAATTTTAAATTAAGAAGATCATGTCAAAGCCGGTTAAAAATTGTTTAAAGAACCAACTTCGTTGGGGATAACTGGATCAATAAGTAATTTTTATCAAAAGATCCGCTGGGAATTTTCATAATTGAAATGTATAAATTTAAGTCTTTTAACATTGAATAAAGATTAATCTTAAAGGTAATCGACAAAAAAACACCGACGAAAAAGAAAATTTGAGCTTGATTAAAGTAAACCTAGACATTTTACTAGAAGAATATCACACGGCTTAAATTTGTGTCTCCTCCTTTTATTGCAAAAAATCACACAGCCTAAGCAAGTGCAAGTGTATTCACTTTCTAGTTCAAGTTCATTGCTTTTGTTAAACTGACAAAAAACTCATTTTTTAGTATGCTTCCCACTAATTTATTTTGACCAAAACTCTTACACTTTTCTTAGAAAAAATAGCCCAAAAACTTTTAGAAAAAAATACAGCAAGGCAAGTCTATAGAAAAAAAACAGACTTGCTTATTAAAAAAATTCAACTTTCAAATTAAAAACTGAAATCATGATCCTATAGCTCTTTGAATATCGCAAGCAATTTATTGTTGGCACTTTTCTGATAACTATAACCCAATTTGGGAAAACTGGATTAGTAAAAACAATTTTATTCCCCAGGGAAATCTAAATTCTAGCTGCGAATCTAAAAATCGATCACGTTTGTTTCTCACCATTTTAGATCTCGTATTTGGAGAAAAACGTGTGCCTTCTTTCTAGCAAATGAACTTCAATTGAACTAAAAAAGCGGATAGATATTTACAGGTTTTTTATGTGCATTTATAAGGATCAATTCACTTCTTTTGTAATAGAGCCTTTTCATGAAAACTATACAAAAATATCCATCACGACTTATATAAGAGTCTGAACTACGTTCATCGACTCTTTAAAAACAGGTATAAATAACTCTATCATGAAAAACAGTGAAAATAATGAATAATTTTGTTATTACAAAACTTATCAACCAAAATCGTCTACTTTTGAGAAAAAACTTTCACGTTTTTTCGCGACACTTGAACTTTTTTATTTGACAGCAAAAAAAACTTTCCATATAGAGAATGAGGTGAAAACCATTTTGAAAAAACTGAACATTCAAAGCGCGAAAGAAAAACAAATTCGAGCCTGAACGACTTCGATTACTTTTCCTGAAAAAAAAAACGGAAACGGGTTTCCCTATTTTAATTAAATGATGGGAAAAATTTACGGACATTTTTGTATGACTGTCGCTATATGCCTGCATTTTTCCGGATTTCAGCTATCAAAACAGTTTGTTCGTCTGATTTTTTCATGCTCTTAACTCGCTATGGCATCAACAAAAGATGATCTGTTAGTTACATGGCATTAACAAAAAACAATTTGCTACTTTCTAAATATAATTGTTTCACAAAATTAAAGGCTTAGCTTTAGCACTGTATTGGACAATATAAACTACATTTTCACTTTTAATTATTTTGCTTAATTGAGAAACTCTGTTTTATAATTAATTAACATAAGAATTAAATTGAACATGTATTTGATGACAGCTTGAATAAAAAATTGAGATTGCAGATTTGCGTGTTTTGATTGCAGCTATAATCTACCGGGCTCATTTGTTGCCTTCTAAGAATTCGGTTGATTTTTCCCCTTCACTGAAAACCAATGAGAAACACTAAAAAAGTCGTCGTTTTGATTTCATTCCAGATTTGGCTGCAATCTGTTTTTGGCATGCTTTCGCTTCTTAAACAAAAAAGTTAAGAATGAATAACGACAGTC